CGTGAAGGATGTGTCAGTCACCTGCTTGTTGGTAGATGTGAGTATGGGAAGTTAAGAGAGCACTGATAGTGTCTGACCAGCTGGAAACTCAGCGACCTGTCATTTTTGGAAGGTTTTTTTTTGTTTCTTGGATGGAAGTACATAACTTTTTTAATGGGAAAATTATTTATTTCACACTGAATAAATAGGACATGTCAAAATAATGAGCTGCAAGGATGTCTGAGCATTAGAGTACATCCTCCAATCATGAAAGCAAAATGACTGGAGACACTGAATAAGAGTAGTACTTAGTGCTGGAAATAGTCATCTGCAGAAACAGAGGACTGTAACAGTTTGAGCTAAGTTGTCAGAAGTTAGTGTAGAGAAGCAGGATGGGAGCACAGAGGCTTGAGCTGTCTATAAAATGGGATTTCTCCCACGTTAAAAACAAGCTGCTCACTGAAACTGTGGTAACCAAAGGTTCAGACTATGTCATGGGAGGAAATCTCCTGGAAGAGCTGTTTAGGCAGAATGCATTGGGGTTTTGTGTTTATCAGCTTCATGAGTCTTTAATCTCTTGGGTTTACAAATCTTGTGTCCCAAACAGCTGCTTTATTGGTAGTGCAGGGGTTTGGAGGTACCTCCCATGCCACCAGGAAGTTTGGAGATGCCCTTACCTCAGGGTCAGGCAGGTGAGGGACCCTTGCAAGAGGAGGACTGCCAGCTTGCCTGGGTTCTATCACAGCTTCAATTCTTTTGAGCAAAACTTTTCTTCCAGAAAATGTCAGTGTCATAAGGATTCAGTGCTGGAGCTGGAGAAGATGGTAGCAATGAAAACTGGTGGATTGATCAGCTTCCCTGTTAAACTGGGAGTTGCTCCAGCCACACTGGAACTGCTAACAGGCTTGGGAAGACCATGAATCTCAGATCTGCCAACAGAGCATTGTGCAACCTCTTCCCTTCAGCGGAAATTTAAATTCTACAGAAATTAGTTGCCTAGAGGCTTTTCATCTTCAAGGAAGTTTCCTTCTTGCCTTAGTGGATTTTTTTCCCATGCTTGAATAAGATCAGTGAAGGAGGGATGTAAGTGTGAGAACTGAAGGGAGTGCCATGTGGATTTGGCACTGCAGGCAGGGTCGGTGAGATCTTCTTCCCACTGTGGATGCTGAAGGTGATGCAGTTCTTCCCCAGAGCATGCCAACCCCATGGGTTTTTGCATAGAACAAAGAGTAGCACGTTTGGCAAAAATTAGGGACTTTGCATCTTTGATTTGAAAGTGAAATAGCCATCAGGTGAAGCTGTGTGAGGGAGACTGGGGCTGCAAGGAAAAGGATGCCCTGAGGGACTCAGGATGCAGTGGAAACTCCAGATAGGACAGGAGAACCAAAGAGGACCTCACTCTCTTCTCCCTCATGTTGAAGCTCCAGTATGTGATGGCAGTAATGTCCAGAGTGCTACATGCTGGTCTAGGTCAGAGGAGTGAGAGATTTGGGTATAGGATGCAGCCAAGGCAACATGCAAAATAAACCCTGAACAGGTAGAAGGAAGCCCTAGGGAGATGCTTGCTGGTTTTCTGCAGCAGTTTTGGCCCAGAATGTACAGTGATCAGTGGAGGGCTTTATGCAAAGGAAAGGCAGCTGGTCAGGCTGACTTACTCGGGTCGCTGTGATCTCTGTTATAATTGTTCCCTGTGTGATTATTTTGAGGGTTGAGCAACTGAGAGCTGCAGAAGAGACGAGCAGCTTCATTTCTGCGGCGTGTGAAATGCTCTGTGTTCCTTTCAAAAACGTTCGTTGCTCTTTCTGTCTTAAAACATAAAATGAAATGCTGGAAGTCTGCAGGAATTTTTGTGAAGTCTAACTTTAAATGCTCACCTTTCCTTTTATCGCCCTTATCAGCGCACAGAGCTCGCTATGTGAGGTTTTTAGCTGACATTTCAGATCGCTCTGAGAGTGCCTGAATCCCTTTTAAAGCAGCCTCCCCTCCCAGATCAGAAGTGACCAGGTTTTTTTGTTATACTCCATGTTCCTTTAATGTTTTCCTCCTAATAGATGTTGAAAGCGTTCTTCAGAGGCACTGCACAAAACATTCAAATAGTGATACGAGCCAGCTGAAGAGAGTTGTCAGGGAGAGGGAACATTAGTAGAAGGATTGAATACAGATGGATTCCTCAAAAGTAATGTAACCTGTTATGATTGCTTTGAAATCCTATACCCTTTCCATCTCCTTACGCTTACCAAAAGTTTACATTTGCATTGGTGTGTTAGAGGCAGAGCTAAAATGGAAGTAATCCCTGTTGTACACATGCTTAAGTGTGTAATTTTAGCTAAATACAACAGTTGTGACCAAACCTGCATCCTCAGTAGGAAGCCCACAGCCAGGAAGTGTTGGGAGAGAGCCCATCCATCCTGACTCCTCTGGAGTGACCAGGAGCCACCCAGCACCTGTCTGCTCTCTCTTGGTTCCTTCAGCCATCCCAGTTCCACACCCAACAACCTCCTCATATACTCTCTGCTGCTCTGTCTTTGTGTCAGCAGATTCAAAGGAGAAATGGATTGAGCTGTGCATTTTATTCTATATATGATAGTGCTTAATATAGTGCTAGAATAATCCATGCCTCTTCCAGAGAGTCCTGGAAGAAGGTCCACTAGAAGTTGGTGCTCTGTTTTAATTGGGTTGTCCAAAAAGCATCCTTCTCTTTGCCCGCAGGGAAGGCCTGAGCTAGCCATCATTCCTGCCTCAATTTAAGAGGTTGTCTCAGCCTCCATCACACAGCTGTCATGTCAGATTTGACAGGAGGGTTGCACTGCAGAGCACTCCTTTAATGTTCAGAACTGACCGTTCCACGCAGGGAGAACTGGTGAAGGAGGCTGGTGAGGTTTGCACTTATTATACCTTGCTTTTTAGGGTGAACTTGTTCAAATTATTTCCAGTGTTTGCCCTAGAAAGCTGTTCTGAAATCTGATGGAATACTGAAGTAAAGTCGCTCCAGTGCACATTGGCTGTGACAGACAGAAAGTTTGTGTGTTAGAAAGTGTCCGTGGTGACTCACCATCCCAAGGTGCTGTAAGTGTTCGTCCCCAGCTGACTCTGTGTTGCACCTGAGCATGGAGAAACGTCCCAAGGCTCCCTGTTCCTCAAACAGTTGTGAAAAGCCTCAGCTGGCTCAGGTTTGAATGCTCTTTACAACTATACTGAGCTTCATCTGAGGAGAAATAGCTTGATGTTTTGGTTGGTTTGTGGCAAACAAAATACTAGTTTTCTCTTTGTGAGGAGAGTAATTTGTGCCTTACTGACCCCACAGTGGGCCTGAAACAATAGGATTTTTCTTAGTGACCAGTGAACATCTGTGAGTCCTTGTATCACTAGGAAAACAGGTTGTGTGTCGAGGGGCTGAAGGGCAGGTGAATAGGAGCTAGGTGAGTGGTGTGTTAGCTGAAGGCTGTAGCCCTGCCCAATTCAGATTGGAAAATAATTTGGTAATGCTTCTATCCTGGTACACCAAGAGCTATATTACACATACAACATTCTGAAAACCTCCACCTTAACTGGGCTCTCTGCCAGTCCCAGTTTGTGTAGTGGCTGCCCTGCATTTACACGATGTACAAATTGCACAAACTGCCAGCCTTTCCCTTTGCTGGTGTCTTCCTCACCTCTGGTCCCTCCATCTGTGTATTTCTCATGGCTTTCCTTGTCTTATCTAAATGTAAACTCATCAGGGCAGGGGCTGTTTTCTTTTGTCTGTAGGACTTTGACCACAGTACAGCCAGAAACGCTTTCCATGGCCTGATGGGGAAGCACATGTTGCCAGTGTGTCCTCCATGGAGATGTTTGCTCAAGGTCCATTGCAAACCACAGCAACCAGGTGCTGGTTACTGAGTTACTAAAGAAAAGACCATGATGATGATCTTTGTGATCCAAACTAAAACAGGACTCTGATTTTCAGAGCTGGTAACAGAGCTTGGAAAACCCAGGAATTCATCAAGATACCTTACAAATGCTGCTCTTCAGGCAGAGGGGCAGGCAGGGAGAGCAAGGGAGTAAAGGATGCGGTGTTGGTGTGAATGTTTCAGCTTGTTCCTCCTTCTGGCAAACTGCAGAATGACTTGGAGTGAGAACAAGATGCCTGCGTGGCCTGTCTGTCCTGTGGTGTAGCAGAGCTGGAGGCACGTTGGCAGCAGTAGCTTTTCTATGCCAGTGGCAGTGTCAAGGTGAAAAGGAGCTCGTCTCCTGGGTTCACAGGCTGCTTCACCGTTAATGCAGGTCTCCTGCTGAGCAAGGAACACGCTCCCCAGGTGAGCTCACACAGGCTGCCTCTCTGCCTGGCATTCTGCTAAAGAGAAGGAGGAGACCTGCACGTGTACTTGAATAACCTGTCTGCAGGACAAGGCATTAGTTGTGTACAAACTAGCCTCCATAGATCCATGGGCACATTGGAAAAGCCAGTGTGATTAGATGGTCCTTCCTGGTGGGATTTGCAAGTGTCTGATGTACCCGTGCATGACACTGAAGGTCGGATTTAGGTACTCTGTTGTGAGCAACAGCTGCTCTTGCTTCACCTCCCTCCCTCAGCAAACATGTTCGAGTAAAGAGAGATGTGAAAGCAAGCATAGAATGGGCGAGCTGTGCTACACACCCTTCCCTGTTGGCAGGGTAGAAGCCTGTCTTGACTAAGAAAAATGCTGTCTTACTATCTAGGTATTGCTTTCAGGTGCTCATGGAATGGCTGGTAAGCAGTTAGCCCGTGGACACCATAAATCCTGATGGAAACTGGACTTCTTCCATAAAGTCTTGTTCCCTCACTTCTTTACCTCTTCATAACTCCATGAATTCCCTTTCTCCTCCAGTCATGAGTCAAATTGTTGGTGGCTCTATCAGTGCAGCTTGGTGTGAGCACAGCTTGTTCTGTAGCCTGTCACCGCTGCTGGGGCTCCAGGCAGAAGGACTCTCTGATACAGAGATGTGATACAGAGTATGGTCAAGGTTGTGGCCTTCTAATTTGACTCTTGTTTTTCTCACAGGCATGGGTCGTGGAGAGAGCCTGTTAACCCTTACTATGTCAACACGGGCTATGCTCTGGCACCGGCGACCAGTGCCAACGACAGCGAGCAGCAGAGCATGTCCAGCGACGCCGACACCATGTCGCTGACAGACAGCAGCGTGTAAGTAACCCCAGGCTGATGGGACAGTTCCATGTTTGTGTCTCCTGAGGTGGTGCTGCTGCTGTGTTGGTGTGGGGGAGGCTTTGCCACAACTGGGGCTGGGGGGAATGTCTTACTAGACCATGGTCATGATAATTTTCTCTCTCCAGTCGGGGTTGTTTTGTCACTGTGCAGGGTACTCCGCCTTGCCAGTCTTGGGAACATTTGCAGTGTGAAATACTTTGAATGAACTAAAATAGATATGCTTGGTTGGAGTTCTTGCAGTGTTTCTTGCGAGTGCAGGAAGCATTGGCAGTGTTGGATGGCTTTGTAGTAAGTGGTTTGAGATACAGTATCTTCTGAGTGTTGGACAGAGCTTTCTACTCACCTGGGTACTTCTCTCGAAGTTTTGTGCTCTCAAACTCACAGAATCACAGAACGGGTAAGGTTGGAAGGGACTACAGTGGGCCAGCTGGTCCAGCCTCCCTGTTCAAGCAGGGTCATCCCAGAGCACATGGCACAGGATTGTGTCCAGACCTGCCCCTCATGACAGCACCTTGTATCTCACCCACAGGATGCCTTCCTTCAAGATGGTCTGGGAAAAGATAAAAAAGGGGTTATGAGATTTTGTTGTGACTGCATCTCTGATGGAAAAAAGGGATTGAGGGGAAAATATTCACTGTTTGGTCTGTTCTTTTAGTAGTGCAAATGCAAAGTGTCTTTCTGTAGAGTAGAAACCCTTTGATTCTTCAGGCGAAAGATGACAAGTTTACAGAATTAGGAGAGGGTTTTATTAATGGCAATGCTGTAAACACAGAGTCCTCCAAGAGGCTCGTTTAGTGTCACTGAATGACAGGAGCTGTCAGACCTTGTTGGAGAAATCTCCCAGCCTGTGCCATAGTTGTTGTTAATGGGTGTTGCAGCAGTTCCCCACCTGCCCTCAGTTCATACAGTGAGCTGGTGAGTGCATGACATGGTCAGGGGGTTTCTGTGTCCGTGGTGGTTGCTCTGTGTGAGCCACTAGTGTGCTTGTCTCTGGCTCCCTGGGCCCTTGGGGCTGTCCAGAGGCAGCTGTGAGTCCATTCTGCACCTTGACACCAGCTCCTTGCACCTTATCCCTGTCACCTTGCAAAATGGAGGAGGCAGACCTTGGCCAAAGGGCCTGGGAGGAGGAGGATGCCCCTGGGACAGAACGCTGGAGAGGGCTGTAATTAAAGGCTCCATTTGATACAAATCCAGCTCCTCTGCCACATCCTTCTGCAACTCTTCATATTCATCAATTTATATGGAGGAGTGCTCTGAAGCTAGCAGGGGTCGTGTAACTTCTTGTTATCAGGAGAGACAGATGTAAGAACTCTTCAAAATTAATTAGCTTTTAGCACTTCCTTTTCCACTGGTCCAGTGGGCTCATGGGGCTGCACTGATGGTTATACCTGCGATAAGTTTTGATCATTTATGCCAGAGTTCTTCACCCTCCTAATTTTTATTTCAGTAGCCACAGTTTGGTTTTTTTCACAGGCAGAATAATTTCTGTTTGACCATCCTATGCTCCTTTTTTTCCTTAAGGCATTTTATCCCTCCTATGCCCACCATAGGCTGCCTCTAGGAGTCTAATTACCACCAATACATGTACTGTCTTTTGCTAATAACTAACCCAATCTTAGTCGTTCATATTAAGTAAGTGTCAAACATAAGAATAAACCTGTGATCTTTCCTTCTGTGCATCTCAAACTGGATGCATGCAGAATGATCCCCAAATTTGGATTCTGGATGTAGAGCCTTGACCTTTGGCTTACACATACTCTGTTTTCAGCACTTGCTCTTCATTACATGCTTTAAAACTCCAGCACCAGATTTTA